CTAAAAAAAAAAAAGAACAGCATCAAAAAATAAATAAATAAATAAACAGTATCACCTGTGAGTAATATGCTCCCTCAAACAATGAATGATAGGAGACCAAATGGTCAACATTTACCCAAAGGTATAGATGAGAAGTCAGGGAGAGGAAGGGACACTAGATCAATGGAAACAGAACAAATAGAATGGAAATAATGACAATGCTGACACATTATAGAAATTATAACCAATGACATGGAACAATTTATATAAAAATTTTTAAAGGGGAACCTAATTTACTTTATAGCTTTCCCCTAAAACATAGTAAAATATTAATTAAAAAACATATGAAACTTAAATATTAGGACATCACATCAAATTGGAAAGATCAGAGAGTTTCCTGGATTAGATATAAGCCTTAAAGGAAGAGTTGGCTTTTGACAGATGAAAGTGGTGGGGAGAGTGGTCTAGGCAGGGGACCACCAACAATGTAAGGCTCCAAGGTAAAAAGTGTAGATGGAAAGAAAGTAATCACTAAAAATCTGTTTGTGACAGATCCTAGGTGGCTGCGGAACTTGTGCAAACAGATTATGAATGTATATGTGCATCAGGTATGGTTTACAGACTGAATAATAATAGCAAGTCTTGCATATCTGTGTATTATTTTTTCAAGTGAGTTGTTTGCACACAATTAACAGCTTTGGAGCCAGGCAAAACTAGGTTCAAAGCAAGGTCTGAGATAACTGGACAAGTTAATTAAGGCTCTGGGCATTAGTGGTTTTCTTTTTTTTCCCTTTCTTACAGTGGAAGTAATAAGATGACCTCTTGAATTATGATTATTAATTGGGACAAGGCATTTAAATCACACTTAGCAATCAACAAAAGGTAGTTACTGTTCTTATTAGTGTGTGTTGTGATTTAGAAATTGAACTAGAAATTCAGTTTAAAAAAATAGTATCACAAGTCCTACATTAAGTATAGCATCAGCATAGCTAATTTAGATCACAGGTATTACTTTTTGTTATTTATATTATATTTTCTATGACATCTGAAGAAAAATTTCTGTTTCCAGGTTTAATTTATGTAATTGGAGGCATCAGCAATGAAGGAATAGAGCTTCGTTCTTTTGAAGTTTATGATCCACTTTCTAAGCGTTGGTCTCCACTTCCTCCAATGGGAACCAGGAGAGCATATCTTGGGGTGGCTGTACTGAATGACTGCATCTTTTCTATTGGAGGGTGGAATGAGACACAGGATGCTCTTCACACTGTAGAAAAATATTCCTTTGAAGAGGTAGGTTGGATAATTTCAAATGTTTAGTATCCTATTATTTTAATGTTTGTAGGATTGGTAGTGATGTGCTCTCTTTCATTCATGATGCTGATACTTTGTGTTTCTCTTTTCAAAGAACCAGCTTTTAGTGTTATCTTTTTAAAAATTGCTTTCCCATTTTCTACTTCATTGATTTCTGTTATTTTTTTCCTCCTTCTATTTGTTTTGGGTTTAATTTGTTCTTTTTATAGATTCTTAAAGCAGAAGCTTAAATGATTGGTTTTAGACCACGCTCTTCTCTAATATAAGCCTTTAAAGCTATACATTTCCCTCAAACACTGTTTTACTTGCATCCCACACATTTTGACATGTTGTGTTTTAATCAGCATTTATCTTTAAATATTTTCTAATTTCTTTTGTAATTTCTTCTATGACCAATGGGTTATTAGAAGTATGTTATGCAGTTTCAAAATATTTGTGGATTTTCCAGTTATCTTTTTGTTATTAACTTCTAATTTAATTCCACTGTGATCAGAGACTTTGTATGATTCCTGTTTTGGTACATGTTTCATGTATACCTGAAAAAAATTGTATATTGTTGTTGCTGAGTATAGTGTTGTATAAATGTCAATTAAGTCAAGTTGGTTTTTAGTGTTTGTTCAAGTCTACCCTAGCCTTACTGCCTTTCTGACCAAATGTTATGCCAATTACTGAGAAAGAAGTGTTAATAGTTTCCATCTGTAATTATTGTTGTTGTTGTTGTTAAGTGCCGTCGAGTTGTTTCTGACTCATAGCGACCCCATGCACAGCAGAACGAAACACTGCCCCATCCGGCGCCAGCCCCACAATCCCTGCTATACTTGAGTCCATCATCGCAGCCACCATGTCAATCCATCTTGTTGAAAGCCTCCCCCTCTTTCGTCGACCCTCCACCCTACCAAGCATGACATCCTTCTCCAAGCAATGGTCCCTTCTTACAACATGACCAAAATAGGTGAGACGAAGTCTGGCCATTCTTGCTTCCAAGGAGCATTCTGGCTGCGCTTCCTCCAGGACAGATCTGTTAGTTCTTTTTGCAGTCCATGGTACTTTCAGCATTCTGTTAAAAAAAAAAAAAAAAAACCTGTAATTATGGATTTATCTATATCTCCTTTTAGTTCTATCATGTTTTGGTTCACATATTTTGAAGCTCTATTACACAGTGAGTTCACAATGGGATTATGTCTTCTTGATGAATTGATTCTTTTATTATCATGAAATATTCTTCAGTGCAGCTTGTACTTCTTTAGTACCAGTGGTTCTTGATGATATGCTACCTCCTGAAATGGTTTAATGTTGACTGATTCTTTTTGTACAGTGACTCTGTATATTCATTCCACCTTCTTTAGATGTTTCCTGAGTCAATGTTTTGCCCATAGAGTATCAGTATTACGATTTAAGTCTTGAATTTTTCAGTTCTTTCTGCTTAAGAAATACCAATCATGTTCTTCCCTTTTGTTTTTCTAACTCTGGGTCTTTGCACTTTTCACTGTTAATACTTTTTTTCTTTTTTGTCTTCTCAAGCTACCCTTTAAAATCATCTGTTCAGCCCTTTTACTTCATCCTTTTTTTTCTGTTTGCTTTAGCTAATCTGTGCTTAAGAGCAAGTTTCAGAATTTCTTTTGACATCCATTTTGGTATTTCCTGTCTAGTTTTTCTATATGGCTATGAAATGCCAGTTTTAGTTCCAAAGTGCTTATCAATGATATGTATGTTACCTTGATTTTTCATGCATAAATCTGAAATGATATTGTTATTTACCATCTAACTAAACTCCTAAATTGAGAATAATGTTGGTTCAGTGATAGAATTCTAGACCTTCCATGTAGGAGAGAGCTGGGTTTGATTCCTGGCCAGTGCACCACAAGTATAGCCACCATTCATCTGTCACTGGAAACTTGCATGTTGCTATGATTTTGAAGAAGTTTCAGCAGACCTTTCAGACTAAGGCAGACTAGGAAAAATGGTCTGGTAATCTGCTTCCAAAAATCACCCAATGAAAACCCTGTGGATCACAGCCCTCCTTCAATCCTGTTGGGCATGAGGTTGCCATGAGTTGAGCTAACTCCACAGCAGCTAACAACAACAAAATCCTACATTTTAGAGCCAAACCCTGAAGATAACATCTCTGGTAAAACATGTTTCTGGTCTTAACAATTTATCTGGAGGTGATTCAGGATAAAAAGCAAACTATTGTTTGACCATGGGCTCTATGGTCCCTTTATTGTTGTCAAGGGACATTTTGTGAGAAAGCAAAAGTTAGTTTTCCCTACTGGTAAACATTACCCAAAGCATCCTAAGTTATAAGGATCTTTTGTGAATATATCTATCTTTTAAAATATAAGTACTTTTTTCAGCTATGGCAACTTTGTGAGGTGTTCTGTAATTTCAGCTGATCAAACAGCCTTGAAATTTAACCTGGTCCTTCAGTTTCAAAGGATTTTCCTCGATTTTATAATTTAAGTTCAGATCAACATACACACACTGACTATCTATAATGTGTTGGCACTATACTAGGTACTGGAATATGAAGCTCATTAGCTCCCTGCCTTCAAAAAGTTCACTTTCTAGCACTGATGAACAATCACTGTTCACTCTTATGGCCTTCAAAACTTCATCCACCATATGCTTCATTTCCAGATGGGTAACTTTTTTTTTTTTTTTTTTTAACCTGGCCACTTGTTCTTTTCTCTCTTGATTACACCCTAGGACCTTAGTAGCTTCCTGCTTTTTGCGTATTGACAGTTTCCCTGGAGTAGGACATAAAGTGTCATTCTGGCTATAGCAACTTACTGAAAGTTCTTCAGGGAACAATATATATGAGGAATTAACATAATTTTTATGTTAAGGGCCAGATAATTACTATTTTAGGCTTTGCAGGCTGCAAACAGTCTCTTCTTTGGGCATGTTTTTCTTTACTTTTCTAACCTTTTAAAATGGAAAAATAATTCTTAGTCTGCAGTTTATAGAAAAACACACCATAGTTTCTAACCCTGGTCTATAGAACCATTTTTGAAAATACGTTCTGCAGACCACTAATTCTACTGGATAGTCCTTAAAAAAGGATTGCATGGTCAAATTAATTTGGCAAGTATTATATGCTATATCATTCTCTTTGAGATGTTTAAGTTACCCAGCCAATTAAAGGTTTTAAAAAACTCTTTGCTATATAAGCTTTCACCTTGGAGTGTTTTACTATTTTGTTTGCATGTGTTACCTATTAGCATCCACAGACCTAGATTCTCAGAATGCTCGTCTATGTATGATTTCTAGGTCATCTCTCAATCGTGAGTTATGATTATAATCATAGATGTGTTTTTCAGTTCTTTTCCTCTGAATACACTACTTTTCTACATGAAAATTCATTCAAAAATATTCTAAATACTTATCTGACTGGATTGTGAATTTTTTTAAAATAAGTATTTTATTTATTTATTTGTGTGTGTGTGTACATATGTGTGTGTGTGTGTGTGTATGTATATAGTGATTTGGATGGAAATTTACAGAGCAAATTCACTTTCCATACAGCAGTTCATATATACTTTATGACATTGACTACAATTTACCCCAATGCAACAGCTCCCCTCCCACTTCTCTTCCCTGTGTCCATCCCTCCATGCACTCCTGCCCCCTGAGCTGTCTCCCTGTACATAAACAGCCCTTCTTTCTCCCATGATTGTTCTCTCCAAGGAGTGTATCTACCTCAGGTAAATGTTCAACTCATATGCCTGTGTTTTGTTTGGCTGGAAGCCACAGGTGTGGGTTCCATTCCAGACCTGAAGGGCAGCTAGGGGCCATAGTCTCAGTGGTTCCACTAGGCTCTATCAGACCAGCAAACCTGGTCCCCACCCCCTTTTTTTTCCCCAAATAATTTTGAGTTTTGTCCCACATTGTTTTCCCTCTCTATCCAGGATTGTGAATTTGAAATTAAAACATGCAAAAGAAGTCTGAAAAAAGAGTATCTGATTTCTCAGCACTTGTTTCTATTCCAATCATTTTAGGATTCTAATATATATATATATTTTTTTTCTCTTTTAACCAGGAAAAGTGGGTTGAAGTTGCCTCAATGAAAGTACCTAGAGCAGGCATGTGTGTTGTGGCAGTCAATGGGCTTCTGTATGTTTCTGGAGGTCGATCTTCTAGCCATGATTTCTTGGCCCCTGGAACCTTGGACTCAGTTGAAGTTTATAATCCTCATTCAGATACATGGACAGAAATTGGTAATATGATAACCAGTCGTTGTGAAGGGGGTGTTGCTGTACTATGATATACAAAGCATACAAGCACACTAAACATTTTGAAAATATAGCATCTGACCTTTTGCAAATCAAGCGTGTATTTGGTAATAGGACCCTGTGATTTTATTGGGTTTTCCATGTGTTTGGTTGAGAAATGACTAAAGAAAGATTTTTGATAAGAATTTGACAAGGTATATGGAATATATCCTAAATTAATAAAGAGTTCACACAAATTTACTAAGCTTACCAACAACAGAAATGCTGTGTATGCTCCAGAATTGTTCAGTTAAGGGTAGAGTCCTATTTGTAAAAATGATTTATTTAAAGGAGTCTTGGTTAATAGTCCCTTTAGCTGCTTCTCTAGTACATTTCAAGCAGTAGTATGACCTTTATGTGATGCAGGAATAACATCAATGTGATAATTTGAAGAGCTTTGTACATTCAGTATTCAATGCAAAGCACAATTTTCCATGGCCACAGTTTAACCTACAGAGAAAAACCAATGAAATAACTTCCTTCTTTTACTTGATAACAAGAGTTCTCTCTGGCCTCAAGTTTTTTTATTGGCAACACTTGGAGCAGCTTGCAGAAAATACTTATCTACATACCCCAGTCCCAGTTGAGTTGATTCTGACTCATGGCAACTGTATAGCACAGAGTAGAACTGTCCCATAGGGTTGCCAAGACTAAATCTTTATGGAAGCAGACTGCCACATCTTTCTTCCATGGAGCAGCTGTTGGATCTGAACTACCGACCTTTTGGTTAGCAGCTCAGCACTTTAACAGCTATACCACCAGGGCTTCTCTAGCTGTCTGTATACCAAACCAAACTCACTGCCATCAAGTTGATTCCGACTCCTAGCAACACCTGTTGGGTTTCTGAGTCAGTAAATCATTATGGAAGTAGATTGCCCCATCTTCCTTCCTCAGAGCAGCTGGTGGGTTTGAATGGCCAGTCTTCTGGTTAGCAGTCAAATGCCTTAGGCACTTGCACCATAAGAGTTTAGCTATCTATATAGAGAGATAAAGACCTGCCTATTGATCAGCTTGATCACATAAGGAATACTTTTTCTTGCTCATGTTTTTTTGTCTTGATGCTGAGAATGCAAGTGAGGAATTAATAGGAAGTCCTTACTGACAGTCCTTTATTGCAATAGGGTAATCTAATGGGGGTGGGGGGTGGATAGAGTCCAGCGAAAGGTACTATGAGCCTGGGAAGTTTCTTCTTTGTTTTGTAGGTAGTTGCCAAAAATATGTAATGTTTGGGAAGAGGGAATTTTATTAGGTTATCTGGCTTTGTGCAGGTTTCTTGTACCTGGGGAAGCCTAAGTACAAGCTTGCTACAAAGCTACTGCCTGGACTGTCTTGGAAAAGACTACTTGTAGGTACTTGTGACAATTTTTATAGACACTGACTTATAAGTTCAAAGGTCCCTGATGCAAAACTACTTCTAAAAACTTTTCATTTCCCCCGAGATGCCTTCTGAAGAATTTTTCTCTGTTCTTTTCTAAAAGAAAGATTCATCGTGTACATGATCATTCCTTTTATTTTTACTAGCCAGTTGAAGCTATACATATTAAAAGTATTGCATATATTTAGGTTTAAATAGCTGCCTCAAAAATTTGATTTGTATACCCCTAATTTCCCTGGGTTTTTTTTTTTTTTTCTTTTTATATTAAGTCACCAGTGTATTGTTACAGGTATCAACAGGTCATTTAGATAGAAAATCTTTGGTAAGCATTAAATCCTCAGGTAGTACTCATATCCAAAATATATGAATTGGCCTACAAGGACACTTTCTTTAATAAATCACATGCACATATTAGGAAAAGCTTACATACTGCAGACAGAAAGCTGTATCTTTTCACTGGGATATCCTAAAATCCTGTAGGGTCACCAATGCTTGTTTGGGATCTGTAAAATGTCAAAAGAATGGAGTATCAAGATAATTATAGTCTACTTAAGCTCAACTTATATGCCTTTGATATACCTAATTAACAGAGAATGTGTTTCAAAAGAGAGTGTCACTGTAAAGGGAGGCATTTTGCGCTGCTATATAAAAATAAACGTATAGCCAGCATGCTCCGTGGAAGCAAAAATGGCCAGACTTTGTCTCACTTACTTAGTCATGTTGTCAGAAGGGACCATTCCCTGGAAAAGGATATCATGTTTGGTAAAGTGAAGCATCAGCGAAAAAGGGGAAGACCTTCAACATGATGGACTGACACAGTGGCTGCTAGAATGGGCTCAAGTATAGCAAGGATTGTGAGGATGGCACACAAACAGGCAGTATTTAGTTCTGTTGTACATGGGGTCGCTGTGAGTTGGAGCTGACTCAACAGCACCTAACAACAGCATATAAAAATATAATGTCAAGATTATAGAGGTGATTCAGGAAAAAAAAGCAAACTGTAGTTATAAAACACTAATAGAAATAAAAGATAAACAATAGGGGATTAGCCTCATGATCCCTTTATTCTTTTCATGTCAAAGGGCAAGATTTAAAAAGGTCCAGAGATCCCTGAAAACATATAATTGTAAATATGCTTATTATTTCCTAGATAACAACAGTTTCTTAAAAAGAATGTACTAATAAAGCAGCTAGATTTTTTTTTTTATTAACTTAGTTTATTAGTATTCCAAGGTTACCAAACTATAGTAAGACTGACCAGGTTTTTAAAGTTTGGGGATTTTCACATTTAATTTTACCTTTAATTCTATTTTTAAGCAACTATTAAAATTATCTTCAAATTATCTGGCAATTCAAAATGCAATATCTTGTCCATTTCAATTAAAATCAAATGTACTTAAAAAACAGTTTTCTTAAGAGGCATATATAATTAACAGCATTCCTAGATTATCAGACTGCTATAAGATTGCCTGGATTTTAAAGTTTGTTTTGTTCTTTTGGGATTTGCATATTTAATTTTTAAAAAATGTCTTTAGTTTTCTCAGCAACTATTCATCTTCCTTCGAAACATCTGATCATTCAAAATGCCACATCCTGCCAATTTCAGTTAAAATGTTACTTAAAAGTTCTTTTTCATAAGCGTATACTATAAGTTAGCTATATTTTAGCATTTTTTAGTGTAACTGGATAATTTTCCTAAAAATACGATTTGCCCCTATTTTGGAATATCATGTATTGAGATCCAGAAAGTTTGGCAAAGTTGTACAGTACTCCTATAACTTAGCAAAGAAAGGAGTTTCCTCACCAAAACCAGTAGAATCCGCAGAAGTTCTTTTCAAGCATATGAGCTTCCTTTCCTGATCAGGCTGCAGAACTATTCTTTACATTAAAAAGGCTCCTATAGTGATTTCAGGTATGAATTTTTAACTGGCAAGCTTCTCAGTGATCAGAATTAGGTCTACCTAGTATGGTTTGTTAAAAAGTATACAACTTAACACTGTAACTCACTGCCATAGAATTGATTCCAACTCATATTGACCCTGTAGGACAGAGTAGAACTGCTCCATAGGGTTTCCAAAGCTGTAAAATTTTTTTTTTTTAATTTGTGATTTGGGTGAAAGTTTACAGAGCAAATTCATTTTTCATACAGCAGTTCATGACATTGAGTGCAATTTCCCACAATGTAACAGCTCTCTTCCCACTTCCTCCCCAGAGTTACCTCTTCTCTTTGTCCTTCCCTCCCATGCATCCTGCCCCACCAAACTGTCTCCCTGTGCATATACTGCCCTTCTGTTCTCTGATGATCTGTTCTCCTTGATCTCTTCAAGGAGTGTATCTACCTGATGTAAATATCCAGGCCATATGCCTGTTATTTGGCTAGAAGCCACAGGAATGAGTTCAATCCCAGACCTGAAGGACAGCTAGGGGCCATAGTCTCAGGGGTTTCACCAGGCTCTTATCAGACCAGGAAACCTGGTCTTTTTTTTTTTCTTCTTCTTCTTCTTTTAATGATTTTGAGTTTTGTTCTTCCACTCTATACAGGATTTCCCACACAGATCCCCCTCCAAGTGGTTGACAGTGGTAGCTGGGCACCATCTACTACTTCTGGTCCCACAGTCGTATAGGCTGCGGATCGCATGGTTTACCAGTCCCTTCGACTGTTTGTTTCCATGCATCTTTGGTTTTCTTCATTCTTTGCTCTGGACGAGGAGGGACCCATTGTTGCATCTAGATGGCCACTCGCAACAAAGCTGGTTATCTTGACAGAAGCAGGCTGCCTGTCCCTGCAGAGTAGCTGCTAAGTTTGGTTAGCAGCTAGATGCCTTTACCACTGTGCCACCAGAGCTCGTTAATACTGTTGTTAAATGCTGTTGCATCATCTCTAACTCATATCGACCCCTCCTTGGGTTTCTGACGCAGTAGCTCTACGAAGTAGGAGTGGCTGGTAGGTTTCATTCTCCAACCTTCTGGTTAGCAGTGAAGTGCCATAGGCACCATGCCACCAGAGCTCCCATTAATACTCTAGTCTGATAAATCTATTCACAGCAAAAATCACTAGATATCATATAAGTTACTTACAGAATTCGACTTAGTTAATATTTGAATATTACACATAACAAGTGATATTTTTTCCTCTGATCTCTATTTTTACACCATTTTTTTTTTTCAATTGTGATTTGGGTGAAAAGTTTACAGAGCAAATTCACTTTCCATACAGCAGTTCACATACTTTGTCTCATGACATTAACTACGATTTACCCCAATGTAACAGCTCCCCTCCCACTTTCTCCCAGTAGTTACCTCGTCCCTTTGTCCTTCCCTCCATGCACTCCTGCCCTGAGCTGTCTTCCTGTGCATAAACAGCCCTTCTTTCTCCCATGATTGTTCTAAGGAGTGTATCTATCTAATGTAAATGTTCAACTCATATGCCTGTCTTTTGTTGGTGGAAGCCACAGGTGTGGGTTCAATTCCAGACCTGAAGGGCAGCTAGGGGCCATAGTCTCAGGGGTTCCACCAGGCTCTATCAGACCAGCAAACCTGGTTTCCTCCCCCGTCTTTCCAAATCATTTTGAGTTTTGTTCCACATTGTTCTCCCTCTCTATCCAGGATCTCCTACATAGATCTCCCTTCAAGTGGTTGACAGTGGTAGCTGGGTACCATCTAGTTCTTCTGGTCTCACAGTCGTAGTTGTATAGGCTGAGAATCGCATGGTATACCAGTCACTAGGACTAATTGTTTCCATGAATCTTTGGTTTTCTTCATTCTTCTTTGCTCTGGATGAGGAGAGATCCATCGTTGCATCTAGATGGCTGCTTGCAAGCTTTTAAGATCCCAGTTGCTATTGGCCAAAGTAGGGGGTGGATAAAATGTTCTTCCTTTTGTAAGAGTAGGAATTTCACGAGACTAGATTTTCAAGTTAGAACCCAGTGTCTTTTGCAGTTTGTAAAAAGCATCTCTGTGAATTAGCAGATGTAGAACTAAATAAGCCTACTCTTTAGAGCAAGTTGACTTCAGCTTGGCTTTTACTCCCTAATTCGAATGTACTAGTGGCTTTATTGGGAGGTCTGTTAGCGTAGTGCCTAAGGCACTTGACTGCTAACCAGGAGGCTGGTAGTTCAAACCCATCAGCCACTTCCCAGAAGGAAGGTTGGGTAATCCTACTTCTGCAGTGATACTGCCTTGGAAACCCAAGGAGGGGTTGCTGAGTTGAGGCCGACTCGACGGCACATAACAACAAAGTGGCTTTATTATTTTAGATGTTTTTGATTAGCTGGTGTTATGTGTTTGGTGATAAGGGGGTGTAAATTGCATTTATGCCATGCCAAATATTCTGATTAAAATAAAAAAAGAGGTCACCTTTTTCTTGAACTTGTCTTTCTTTCATGATACTGTTCCTTACTAGCTTTGGAGACACAGATCTTTTCAGTTCATGTATCTAGGTTATACCAAGTAAAATGAGCTTCAAAATCCAATTCCCAGGGACAACTGCTATGAAAAATCACTGAAACTACCTGTTATTTTCAGACACTCATGGGTTCAAAGGTTTTCCTTTTGAACTGGGAGACTTTTTTTTTTTTTAAATAATAAGTCTAACAAGAGGGTTTTTTTTTTAATTTTATCATTTTCAAGACAATTGTAACACTGAAATATTTAGGTGGATGACTATATAATCAATAAATGTGTGAGGACTATAACCTAATGTTACATGAACAAGAGTTATCAGGGATCTTTATGCTCTTATTCAATTACTATGAAATAAAAGTATTTCTAGAAATGAAAAATAATCTACCATTGGTGGAAGAAAAAACAAACTGCCATTGAGTTGATTTCAACTCAGTGACCCTATAGAACAGAGTATAACTGCTCTGTAGGGATTCCAAGGCTATAAATCTTTATAGAAGCAGACTGCCTCATTATCTTCCCACAGAGCAGCTGGTAGGTTTGAACCACTAACTTTTGGTTAGCAGCTCTAACCACTGCACCACCAGGACTCCCTTGGTGGAAGAAAACTGTAGAAAAGGGTGATGTCAAAACGCAAACTTACAAAGCTTATAGGCAACATGCTAATGCTGTCTATAGAAAGGTTTTATATTTATTCCACTTGACCAGGTTTTTTGGGTTGGGTTTCCTCTGCATAAATATCTTTAAGTAATAAAGTGATTACGAATGAAAAGCAGGCCACTAAAGTGACTACTGTCCTCAGGGCTTTGAACCAGTTGGGATAATGTGGCAAGAGAAAAAGTTCAACATGTAATGCTATCGCTAAACCTACTATTATTGTGACTATAGCTTCACTGAGTCTTTCAGAAATAAGGAAGGCAGACCATGAAAACAGAACAGGAGCCATACTATTACCTAAATTAAGGAAGTCTGGTTTGGCTGTACTGCTTTCTGGCAGAGCAAAACCCCATCTGACCCCTCCCAGGAAAGACAGAAAACTGGCTCCATAAGCCAACTGAGTAAAAGCTAATATGGGGATGTAAGTCTTTGTCATCACCATGATCAGTGGTGGAGCAACAAAGGGGACCAGTCCTGCCAGAGTTATGTATAGAGCCGGCTGTGGACTATCAGTCAGGTAAGTGATAGTGCTTGGTGTCTTGGCTCTAAGTTCTGCTGGCTTCTGCTTCTTCTTAAAACAGCATGGGGAAGTATGGTAACATTGTGTTTTGCTCATACACACTGGAAATGATGACAAGAGCCAAGGCCTTGGAAGCAAACGGGGAAAGTTCTGCTGGAGAGATGTCTTGAGAAACAGTTTATCTATTTTCCTGCAGGTTCCTAGTCCCACAGCAAAAGGGTACTTCAGCATCTATAAAGAAAATAGAACCAGAAGACAAAATATTTTATTTAACGAAATTTCTTGGTTAACTCCAATCTGAAGCAATATAAAAACAAACCATCTGCTTTCCATTAGCACATCAAACTTTATAATAAAGGTTGAACTACTACTAAGACTATAAACCAGATATACAACATGTGAAAGAAACTAGTGAACAGAAACCAGTGATGTGCTCAATCTACCCTAATCTTATTCCACAAAACAAATAAAAAGAACAAGTCAAGACTAAGCACTGCCCCTTCTATTTATAAACTGTAAAAAAAAAAAAAAGGGGGGGGGCAGCACAAATTACTGTGCTAGTTTATGTAGAGAAAAGCAAACTACTTTCCAATTTAGCATTACAAACACTGCATATGGGGCGGAATACTCAATAAGCAAAGCAAGCATGGGCTTACTAATCTGTAGTGAACAGTTTCACATTTTTCACCACATGATGAACCACGTAAGCACCCTATGTACACTTCCATCATAATTCTCACAGTGAATTAAAATTGCATGTTTACTTGTCTTTGTCTCAGTAGACTTGTGCCAGGACCATATTTGCTTTGCCTTTAAAAATATCCCCAGTGCCTTTCATGGCATATGCGAAAGTAATAACCTTTCCTGCCAATTCTGTGCTTTAGAGAGAAGCCAGACTTCAACTAGTAAACAGAAAAACAGTAAAAATAGCAACAACAACAAAAAATGTTGGATGAAATTAAAAAAGAAACTTAGTTGTTTAAGAATCTTGGTATCTTGGTGAATCCTATGCCTACTCTCTGTGTATGTGTGTGATAAAAATATATATAACAAGACAATTTGGCAATTTAACATTTTATACATGTACAGTTCAGTGATAGGGATTACATTCATCATGTTGTATAACCATCACCACTATCCATTTCCAAATTATTCTATCATTATAGAAACTCAGTGAAAGGGTACTTCAGCATCTATGAAGAAAATAGAACCAGAAGACAAAACTCAGTGTTCCCTAAGCAATGACACCACCATTCCCCCTGCTTCCCACCCCTGGGTAACCACTGATAAACTCTGGTATCTCTGTATTTGCCTAGTCTAGATATTTCATATAGTGAGATCATATACTTGTCCTTTTGTGACTGACTGATTTCACTCAGCATGTTTTCAAGGTTGATCCATGTGATGGTATGTATCAGAACTTCATTTTTCTTTATGGCTGAGTCCCTGTAACTATTCTTGACACTCCCTATTGCCCTTCCCCGCTTTATAGTTCTCCATAACATGTAGCACTTGACATACTATCTTACTTATTTTCATATTATCTAATCCTCCCCCACACTTGAATACCTGAGGATAAATATTGTTTTGTCATCTTTTTCACTGCTATTGCCTTAGCCAGAGCTGTGCCTGGCAAATAGTGCCCAAATACTTGCTAAATAAACCAACCTTTGAAGATGCTTGAGAAAATTTCTGAATGAAGTGAAGCATAGTAGACCCTATTGAAAGTCTTTTTCAGGAAGACGCTGGGCAGTTCTGATTAACATGTTCTCACAGGGAACTGGAAGGGCTGAATCAGAAGCATGTTGCTGTGTACAAAACGAGATGTTATTTTATTTCCCTCATTTTACACATAATTTTTAAAAAGTAGAAACTCATGAGAATTTCTTCCATGTAACATTTTCCTTTGATAAGAATGTGTTTTCAAAGAGGCCGTAACACATTAAGGAAAGAGGTCCTTTTCTTTCCTAACCCATTCGTTTAGATTTTGCCGTCTGGTTTAAGGAAGTAATGAAGAGACAGATCTGGATTTTACAAACAGTTCCACCACTTCTAGCTGTGTGACTTTGGATAAATTACTTCCTTAGGTGCAAGTTTTCTCATCCTTAAAAATGAAAGTTACAGCTTCTCTCTTCTCTTCCCCATTCCCCCCCCCCCCAATCTACTTTGGGGTTAAGACTTCAAATAGCTCAAAATAATAAAAACAAAGGCAATCAATACAATTTAGCTGTGAACCAGGCACCATAATTATGTGTTTTATATGCATTGACTCATTTAAAGCTCACAATAACCTCATCAAGTTGGTGGTGAGAGACAGTACAGATTAAAAGAGTACAGATTTTGTAGTCAAGCTAAGCCTAGAATCCTGTCTCCATGACTTGCTGTGTGACTTTGGGCAAGCTACTTAAGTTTGCTATGGTTCAGTTCACTCAAGTTTGAAATAAGAATAATAACCCTCATAGGGTCCTTAAATGATGAATTAACACAGCTGAGAACTGTCTCGGACACAAAGTAAGAGCTCAAGAAATAATAGCTGTGTTCCCATCTTAAACCAGAGGGAATGGTTAAGAACCATGTCTAAAGTAAGCAGTCGCTAAGTGGCAGAGTGAAAATATGAATTCATATCTGACATGAGTCACATTAACCAGAAGAAAGCGTCTGAAAAAAAATCCCGGTTACTGCTTAATTAAAATAAATTTATTGCACTTATTTCTTAATCACAGACTCTGGGTCTGGGTCCAGAAATCATGTATAGCAGTCAATGTCTTCATTTTACGTAAGGATACAATTTTCTCTGGCGTCTAAGTAAAGGTTAGGTGACACCGACACCCGTTTCTTGTCCCCCAGAATCAAATACCCTCACCTTTCTTTGCTCAAAATCGTTTTGGTGAGGACTTCCCAGACTACCTTTTTAAAAATGTTTAAAATACTTTCCAACTCATGGGTATTAAAGCGAAAAAGTGACTGCCTAAAATTTTACCTCAGTGTTGATTAAGGACAGAAAAGAGTTAATCTCAATTTAAGCGAAAACGCTCAGCATTTCCATTGTTCGGATGCAGAAAACTGCACACTGGAAGCCTCGAAACCGACATTGGAGAAAAGGGAGCGGAGTCTTGACTCCAGGTCCCTAGCCCGACGGTGCCCGCGGCTCCTATTTCCTACCTACTGTTGGTCCCCTCCTTCCTTCTTTGCACATGTGGCTGCTCCGGTACTTCCTTGTCAGCGTCGCACCAGGAGATAGAAAGCCGAACCACCCACGACCTGTGAAAGAGCACTTCCGGTGAGTAAAGTTAGACAGCCTCCACTTCCTGAGAATCCGAAAAGGTTACTCCGGATGGGAACCTGACTTGGACTAGTTAGTTCCCAATCTATAGTATCCGTCTTGGGGTCATTCTTTTAAAATTTTAGTTCTAGCGGAAGGTGGCTGTGGAGGACTTCAGGGTAGTTGAACTGTCCTTGCCTAGTGTTCCCACTCAAGCGAATTTGCCCTGCAGTAGTCGAGAAGGTAGAATGAAGCTACTGAAGCAATCTCAATGATGGTGGTGAAGGAAGGTAGGAATCTTGAAGTCCAGACTAAATGTGACTTGGTCAAATCGCTTGCCATCTCTAGAACTCATTTTTTACTTTGCAAAACAACAGGGTTTCTGGCATCGATGGAGTTTGTCTCACTCCAGGTTAAGGTCCTTAAATTACTAATATTATTTAAGAAGGAAAAAAAAAACAAAAAACTTTTTTCTCCTTCCATTCTCTTTGCTGGGACCTAGAAACTTCATTAAGAAATAAAGAACACAAGGGACAGAATTTTAACTTCTCCATGAAAGGTGTGGTGATCCAGTAACTTAGGCTTGGCTTTAACTTTTATTTACTTCTCGCCTGTGTGACTTTGGGCAAATCCCTTTCCTTATCTATTTCAGTCTGTAAAAGAAAACAGCACCAGGCAATTCTTGTATTTAATGACAAGCAACAGATCTCAAGGGCCCGTGCCGGTCAGTTCCTCCATTCCTCCAGATTCTAGGTAGTTTAGCTTCGTGATTGCCGGCCATCACTTCGTTCAGCTTGCCGCGCAGGATGAATTCAAAGAGAATTCTTCGTAATAGTCACCGCTTTTATTTCCGCTGGGCTTTCACTTTAATTTCCTTCTCTGGCAGGGTAGCACCGCCCCTTCCCGTCGAGCTATACCCAATGAGACTTTGCGTCGGAGAAACACTTCGCCCGGGCATTGGCGCAGGCGCTGGCCTCACATCCCTTAGGCGCAGGGTCTAGGGCGTGACGCCTACCATCCCAACGAACTACCACTCCCAGCGGGTAGCGCGCGGTGAAGTGCCGCGCAGGTCTCCAGAGCTGGGCCGTGTGGCCCGCCGGGGGCTGGAGTCTCAACGACGCGCGCACGTGAAGGAGGGAACGAAAGGTGGGAAGAGGTCGAAAACAACACTCCGAAACCGTTTTGCTAGTACTTACCGAGGTAGCTTGGAAACGCGTGTTCGTTCAGATGCGGTGTGTGGGAGGATGAAGAAAGAAAGGGCAGGGAAAAACGAATACACACATATACACCCACCCACTCATTCACATGCATCCCGGCCATAACGTTGGGGGGGGGATTGTCAAACTCGGTTGATCTCCGCCTCTTAGCTGGCGGGAGGGACAGCAGAATATTCAACTCTGTAGAGGGGCAAGGATGACCACGCGCCACCTTGTGCTGCAGCGAGGGGTGCTAGGCGCCAGGCAGGGGTAACTGCCTTTCCAGCGGCCGAACGTTGGTTGTATGGGGCGCATGCGACCCTCCGGTGGGTGGGTGGGTGGGGGCGCCGAAGGAGGTCCCGTGCGCATGCGCTTGAGCCCTGTGGGCGGTGCGAGCAGGTGGGCGTGTGTAAGGCGGGGTCGGTTCGGGGAGGGAGAGGGCCGGGCTGGTCGTCGCTCCTTTCCCTCTACCAGCTCTGCCCCTCCTGGGCCGTGTGGGTCGGGCAGCCATTTTGGGGAGAGCTTTGTTATGGTTGTGGGTTAGCCACCTCTGCCGGATTAGGAAGCTGGGGACGCGCCTACGGACGCCGCGCCTCGTCCCCAGCTGTAGCCTCCCCGCGGTCGGGTGAGTGTGGAAGCTTCGAACAGCGGGGGAGTAGGGGATTTTGGAGTGTTCCCCATGGGGGCCTCGGTCCGGTGCCTACCCAATCGGTTGTTTAAAGCAAGTTAAATGGGATCGCACACAGGTGGTTGTGTGTACGTCCGGCCTGGGTAGGAACGAGCCGAACCCGTGGGTCTTGCCGTTCGGACAGGGCACCGCCCCCGGGCATGAAGCTGTGCATATTAGCGTCGCCGCGGCTCTGCGAGAGCTCTTCTACTTCAACTTTGGTCTTCGGGTCGGAACACTCACCTGCGGCTCTCTGGCACCTCTCCAGACGTTCCTGTTTGTTTGGGGTTGAGCGGCTCTGGTTTACGAGTTCCTTTTTCTTTCCTTCTGAAGTGAGAACCAAGGGCTTTTGTTTTTCTATGAAGGAAAATTTAAAAAGGAAAAAGTCCTGTAAGTCAGGTGTCGGGTATTTGAGGGAAAAAAGGAGCTTGGTTAAAGCCCACAGAGTTCGGGCTCTTTATGGTAGCGAGGGGTTTTCGTTGATTTTGATTAAGTCTGTCCCTCACTGACTACCCTCCTCTCCTCCGGAAGAAAAAAAAGAAGCTAATCGAGCTTTAAGTGTTGTAAGAGTATTTTTAATGTTTTAAATCTTTTTTTTCCCCCACCACCGTGAAAATCAAAAGGACAAGCTAAAATGGCTGTAGCTTGGGGAAGTGCCCTGCGCTTCGGTATCTTAAATACGTTAATGTCTTAACAGTTGTTTTGCCTACGAGGCTAGTAACCGAAACCCTAGATCTTTTGGTCAATTGGTGTTTTATTTTGAAGACTCCTTGCTAGGTGAAAACAAAGGTGAGGCTAAGTTTGCTTACTCCAAAAGTTTACATAAGAATGGGTGTGGGTTTTTTTTTTTTTTTTTTGGTAGTTGCATATAGTTCTGAAATTGTGCTGTGGTGTCAGTTTGTGCTTCGAGATAGGCTGGACCTATCTGTTGAAATACTTGCTTTTCGCTTTGTTATTTTCTGCTTCCAGAACCTACTGTGGTGGAGTCAATTCCGACTCATAGCGACCCTATAGGACAGAGTAAAACTGCCCCAAGGATGTAAATCTTTATGGAAGCAAAAGGCCACATTTTTCTCCTGCGGAGCGGCTAGGATTTGAACAGCCTGTCGGTCCCTTTAACCACTGCCCAACCAGGCCTCCTTATTTTCTGCTTATTAAGAACAAAACGAAGTTAATGGTGGTTTATGTTTTAGTTTACTAATAGAAGTTACGTTCCTGTGTAAATTGCTTTCATAATAAAGTGATTGGTAGTTTTCCATACACTTCGGTTTGTAATTTGGTGAAGGTCTTCTACACCTAATGCTTGAAAGGGAATCAACGTGCTGTTAATTTTGGGACATTTATTAGAATTTTTATTAGAATAATGTAAGACATCTCAATAAGTAAAAATAGGCTTTCGATATGCGGTATCGTTGTGCCGTATTTTTTTTTTTTTTTTTTAAAGACTGTCTTTTTGTTTTCTTTTGGGGAGTCACCAAACCAGAAGTTTTACTGAAAACAAAAGCACAGAAAGGAAGCCAGACACAGTTGGTTTTAGTATTTGGAAAGGTGATTGAGTTTCAGGTGGCAATGAGTCTAAAAGATA